GATTCATCCGGGCTTTAGTCCTTGTTCAGTAGCTTCATCTGCTAAGTGGCCCATCAGACCTTTATACAGCTCTACTCGAAGAACTTTCTAATTTTGTCGATGAAACGCAAGGCGGCTCTGTTCTGTTTCAACGCAAACATCCACAATATATTGTTGAAATAACTTTCCTGCATAGTGGATAGCACTGAAATTTTGACGAGCAGCCAACCCATAAGTATAGAGCTGAAGCATTGATACTCTCTTCCGATTTCGAGATCGATCAGCTTTTTCCAATTCTGGATGTCAACCCTCGTCTCCACAAGAAAATAAAAGTGGGTATGTTATTGGATCACAATGAGCATGTAAGATAGAAATTGTTTGAAGGCTTTGATCACGTGGATGTACAACCGCACGGCGATATGTAAGAACATTTCCATTGTCCCATACAAAAGCCACTGCAAATTTATTTGCTCGGGGAAGATTGAATCGACGCTGGTCACATATTCGGTTATTGATATAAAGACCTATAGGAACTGAAGAAGGTGCTCGTTTCTCTCGTTCACAGAGCCTAATCTTCTCTTGTTCCACTTCACGCATCATCTTGAAAGCGGCAGCAAGGAGGACTGATCCTCGTAATAACGATCCTTAACTTTTTTTATGATTGTTTCATTGCAACAATCATTTCCAGCATGTCCCATTCTTTGTTGTAAAGCTAAAGTCGAGTCCAAGATATAGAGCTGGTCGTACTGAGCTCTCTACCCTACTTCAGAATAAAGAGAACCAATACGATGATAGATCTGTCCTTGGATCCGAAAGCAGTAAGATCTACTGCTCATTCGCAAAGAAATTGGGCACTCATAGACGCAAATATCATAGCATTGCTGTAGTTTCATATATTCTTGCGAAAATTTCTCCTTTCCTTGTCTGCTCCTTGCAAGACAGTTTTGATTTTCTCTGGATATGCAAGTAGTGCAGGAAGTTCGGCAGATCCATAATGACAACATTGCTTATGTTCATACTTTCTTCCAGACGCAACCTCAGTTTTGAAGTGGCAGCGTCGCATTGTCGAAACACACTATCCATTTTGCCGAGATAGCTACCACGCACAAATTCATTCCCGACTGCAAGTGCAGGCAAAGAAGATTTCTGATGTCGATGATTACGCTGACGTTGGGCATCGCTTGGTCGTCGTCTCTGCTTATTGTCCTCTGTCTCTTGCTGTCGCCTCAAACGCTTCCTTTGAGCATCAGAATGCAACCGTTTTGGTCTTAATTCAATGGTTTCAGTTGCCAATCGCTCTTGGATCCTTTTCGATCTCCTGCGGACATACCCTCGACGAACATTTGCTAAAAGGCTCACAGAAAAATCCTACGAACTGTTCAGTTTTTCATCTACATCCATAGCAACCGAGCTAGCAGAGATGCCATTGTTGCTATCCGATGAATTCATTGAAGTCCAAACTCTCGAAGCATCACTCATCATTGATAAAAAAAAATAACTTTTCAGCGGCTGATATCCCTATATAAATACCCTTCACCAGCACTACTTTATTTGGTCAATTAGTAAGAGTCTATCAGATTTCGACGTAAGTTTTCTCACCTCCGTCATGTGCTAGAGGAGAGATGCTACGAAGGTTTTTGTAGGAATTGATATTCCTTGTAAGTTTCCTCCAGCAACCCTATTGCTAATGTGCACTATGTGGGAGAAAAATCACCCGCAAATCTTATTGGCTGAAAAAATTGACCAATGGAAGAGGGACCGAACGTGACACTCAACATTAGTATATAGATTGCTCTATATACAACGAGAAAAGCTAGGATGAAACAAAGTAACTCTTTTTTTCAAGCTAATTTGAAAGAAAATCCGAATGGTCTCGTTTTGATGGGAATCACTACTATTTATCTGATCACAAATCAAGCTACTACTTCAAATCTGATACTGATTTTTATGTCAAAATCAAATAAATATAGCTGGTCTGCGATTAAGACTGATGCTTTCCCTTTTTTGTTCAGCTGACGATAAAACTCAACGTCATACTATGAGAATGTCTAACACTATTTCTTCTTCATTCTCCAACTCTTAGTTTTTTTATCGAAATTGAAGACACAAAAAAACATGTATTCATAGACAAGCCACCTCTTGACTTTTAGAAGACACTAAGGCTGTTCTATGATATAATCAACTTAAACATGTTCAATAGTCGAGTAAATAAATAAATAAATAAATAAAAGGTTACAGAATGAGATGCTATAAGTTCGTTCGATATGACATGATTCTAATATATACTTCTTGCTTCATCTTGTCCCATGCTGCTGCTATTTGTTATTCGGTGCCTTGTGCGTTTGTCGATAAAAATAAGCAACTAAACTACTCTCTTGTCTCACTGGACTTTAGACTTCTGTGTGAGTTCAGCTATTCGAACCCGAGCCTGATCCGATGCAGTTGAACCCGAAATCGAACCCGAAAATTTTATTTGTCTCTTTATGCTAGATTATCTATATTTTTTTTCGAATATAGAGATTCTATAAAAGTTGAAATTTTTCTAAACATAGGAAATAGGCATACAATTGCAATAAAAAATTTCATTAGTTTAAAAGCGATCTCAGAATATATGGTAATAGTTTCTGTATACAGTAGCACAGCAAAGCTTTTTCAATTTAGCAAGGTAACTAAATGAATATAGTATACTATACACAATTGTAAACTATCAGATTTTATGACTTGAATTTAAGACTAAGACAGCATTGGTTGCACTGTTTTATAAGTTTACAAAAAAAAAATTCTAACAACTCATAGATGATTGAAAAAAAGTGGTGGTATGAAGATGTTGATATTCAGTATACTATTAATAGCGAAAGTTTGTGAAACGCGAGCATCGGAAAGTAAAGGCAATTATTTTAAGCTTTAACTTCTTTTTGTTTTTGAATAAACATGTTGAAATGAAAACTATTTTCTATATTCGTTCCAGGAATAAATGTCGACGAGAGAAGAATAAAAGAATCAACTCTTATGTCATCATCACTATTGAATCGAATGTTATTGATTAACATTTTTTGAAAAAGCCTTGCATGAAAAAAAATTGAATAACGTTATTATAATCTCTTACGTTAGTATTATTTTTGAGACAATATCATTTGGAGTTTTACAGTTGTTTTGAAGTATTCATATTGAATAATATGCATAGACTCCCATGGATTTGTTTATATTGTAAAAAAGTAAAAGGAACGATACATCATGAAATTATTCGAAAATTGTTCTATTTACACCTATGGTATTTATGGATAGCAAATGACGATAGCTCTTTTTCAGATACATTAAGTTTTTAAATTAGTCGTGGAAAAATACACAGAGATAGTAGTAGATTATGTTAGGAAAATAACCACGACAAAAACTCAACACTTTTCAGAGTTCAACCCGCCCCAATCGCGAGTTAAGTTGCAGGATTCTAATGTAATTGATAGTCTCATCTAATTCAGTGACGTATCTTTAGACTTCTTGCAACACAGGACATTTTTCCTCGAAAGTTTAATGCAACATTTCTGAGTATGTGGGTGGTGTGGGGGATCGATTAAGTCGTGAGTTCTATGAAATTTTTTAGAAGTGCGATGACGATGGTAGGAGTAAAAATATGAATTTCGTAAAATACAAATTGATACTTCGATAATCCAGGGAATACAATAGAAATCCTGGAAATGAAGCGGAAATTCAGGGAATCCCACGGAAATATTGAGATTCTCACGGAAATAAAGAATAAACGGGTTTTTCCATAAGAATAAAAAGGTCAAATTTGCCAACAAGATAAAGGAACAATGGATTGTAGACAGAAAATATTACAATGAATAACTCTGAATTAAGCAAGAGACTTGAAATTAAACAATCATTCTTTGCAAAGTTGAGATTTCGATTAAAAGATTTGTCTTCTTGTAAATCAAATTTCCATCAAGAGCAAATTGAAAATGAACCGAAATTTGGAATGATGTTGATTTAGCGAAAAATTAAATCAGCTTGTCACTTTTTTCTCTTTATGCTCTGTCTTCTCTCTTATTTTATCATTTTATCCTGTTCTTCCTCTCTATTTGAGTCGTTCCATTACGTAGGAGTTCAATCGACATTCATCCGAATGCTCGCGGACAACAGAATGGTATCACTGTGGCTGAAAAAAATGGACAAGGCAATAGAATCAATCAATTCACAGATCCATGGCGTTTGTATGTTGTCCATGATCAAACTGTCGATGTCGCTGAATGGTCGAATCACCGTATTGTGGAATGAAAATCGGGCGCGACGAATGGTTAAGTAATTGCCCGTGAAAATGGAGAAGGAAGTGGGGTTCATCAGTTGTCTAATCCAACTGATATGATTGTCGACAAAGAGATAGATAGTCTCCTTATCTGCGACTATTCGAATAGAAGAGTAGTTCGATGGCCTCGTCAAAATGGGACAAGTGAAGAAACGATCATCTCGAGCATCGATTGTGTTGATTTGACAATGAATGAGAATGGATCTCTCTATTTCACTGACGGTGAAAAAGAGGAAGTGAGACGATATCGAAAAGGAGAATCTCAAAAAAAATTAGTTGCAGGTGGCAATGGAAGTGGAAATTCTCTCGATCAACTCTCTGGCCCACATTACATATTCGTCGATCGAGATCATTCAGTGTACACGTCTGATAATGGAAATCATCGTATGATGAAATGGGTGAAAGGTGACAAACAAGTCATTCCCGTGGCTGATGGTCAAGGAAAAGGAAATGGTCTTACACAATTGTCATATCTTGAAGGAGTCGTTGTCGATCAGTTGGGCACTGTCTATGTGACTGATCAATGGAATCGTCGAATCACGCGTTGAAAACAAAGGAGCCACACAGGGAAGTGTCATTGCGGGTGGAAGCGGTGGAGAAGGGCAATTGAACCAAGTCAATCAGCCGTAAGGTTTATAATTCGATCAACATGACGATGTCTATGTCGTCGAGTATGGAAATCATCGAGTACAAAAGTTCAATATCGATTCAAACAAATGAAAATATCAACTTTTGAAAAAATCATCAAATAATTAATTAATTAAATAATTTTTTTTTCTGTAAATAGTTAACGTTTATTATAGTTAATTAAGTTGCGTAACTATTTTGGTGAACCTAATTAAAACCTACATATATAAAAGAACAAACAAACAAACACAGATGGGAGAGACCTGGCTAACTTTCTTTAAAAGGGAATCCTTGAAATTATTTTGAAGTTTTCCAGCATTCCCAGAGTTGAAAGGGTGCAGAG